TTCGACACGTTTTATTATTCGATTTCTTTTTTCTGTTCAATATTACATTAAGTTATCAAGAACATTTCGTTTGATAATCTCTAAAGAATTCAGTCGCATGCATTATAATCCCACTATTTACAGATGCAATATTCATCGAACTTTGCCTGTATTAAGTTTCCCAAAAATTAACGAATCGAAAACGAGTGTTTGCGACAGCTGTCCGAGAAGCCTTTGTGTATAACGCGTGGAAACGAGTGTGTTTGTTAGCTAAACTATAATTAACCCGGCCTGACCGAACTTTCACTCATTCGCTGGCAGATTGCTTTTTTTACCTCGAGATCAGAGCGAGCTTCGCAAACTCATTCCGGAAACCAGTGACACATTGGATCTTACAGAATGACATTCAAATTCAGTTTGGTTGAGACGTGTATGTGAAATGACGAATTTGTTATGAGTTAAACAGAATTTGTACGAAATTGTTTGCTTATCTCCCTGAGCTGGTCTCGTTCTACTCTTTAAAGCTGATTTAGCGTATCGCGGATATGAAGAGATTTTAGCGCAAGGATGGCCACGAGAAGCTGGTATTTCACCTTTGTGACTGTGGCGGCTTTGGTCAATTATATAGGAGCAATTGATGTCGGTGAGTCCTAACCGTCTGGGTTTCTAATCTACGCTAATTTACATTTACTCGACAACGTTTCCCTGTTTTATAGAGCAAAGATTTTACAACAGAGGTTTCCCTCTTGCTAACACTGGGAATATCTTATTTTTTTTCCACCGGCTAGTGGCGATACAAAATACACTGCTTTGTTACAAGAAAGAAAAGACGTCAGAGCATAACATTTTCAGTTTTTGACAACGGCTGTTACAGCCGGGCTTATCCTCAACGCAAAGATGGAAATCAGTGATTTGATGGTAATCTAATTTCGCTAAATCGTCGCTTTGAAAAACCCAAAGAAAAAGATTCCATCTTTGATAAATACAACTGCAATAGATTGCGAAACGCATAAAGTTTCTCAAACCAGGAGGCCCTTGAGAATGAGTTCTTGATTACATCAATAAAATGAAATGTATATCGTTATCTCAGTGCGTGTTTTCTTCGTAAACTAGAGGAGCGACCTGCAGAGAAATTGTACTTTTTCTGCCTAAGCTTGTAGCTCTTTTTAATCTATCTTTTAAGTCGGTGCTCGAGATTCATTTTCTTCGATATATTATAAATTTGCATTTCCTCTATTTCTTTCTAGTTCTCGTTTTATGTTCATTCTTTTCTGAAGTGGTCAACTTCTGTAGCAGAGAGCTTCCTTGTTATTACTTTTTTGCACGCAATATGAGCGTACGAATAAATCCAAATTAACATAATAGTAGTTTCATTCACCTCGGATAAAAAGCTAGAATTACAGACGTCAAATAAGAAATGGAAAAAAATTAGTCTTGAGTTATCCGCTTTTGTCTGCATTTTAATACAATTTCAAAGCAGCCTGTTTTGTAAATACAAGATGTTTCGAAATATCAAGTACAAATTTCGCCTGAATGACGCAAGAACCATTTGCGTTTCGCTGTCAAGAAGCGAATTACGAAAAAAACCTCCAATTTTAAAAGTGTATTGCTGTTTGAGTCGCGATGTTGTGTCATCTTGACGGTCATATTTAAGGTTTTAGATTAATTTAAGCTTTGACTTTTCCAATGATGTTTCATATTTATGAAAAATCGAATGATATTCATCAATGAGACGAGAGGCATTTCGATAACTTTTTAAATTTTACTTATGAAGAGGGTTTAATTTAAAACAAAGGAACTCAATATTCAGGGGAATTACGACACATCAGCATCGGACACATCCTTGAGCTCTGTTTTCAAGTGCAATTAGCCTGAAAATGATTTTTATCTGGCGTTATCAGGATTTTTAAATGTGAGCCACTTTCCGTCTTGGAAGAAATTGTTTACTTACGTAAGTAACACATGTTAATATTCATCCGAAGTTTCATTGCCATATGTCTCTGTTCCGCGCGCCGGCCAACATCCCTACAACTGTGGACTTGAAGGACAGGGAACTGTGATAACAGTTCAGGGCAGTTTACCTTATTTTAAGACCTTTTAGCTTTAGTTTACGCAATACATACACCAACATTGTCTCCGCTTCAGTACTGAAAGCGTTTTAATTTACGAAAAGTTGTTTTCCGGAAGCATTAGTCTAAGCCAGCCCTAGGATTTTCAATATTTACCAAGTTTTTCCCGTCCCGTTTACCTGTTCCAACACCTTACATATTGTTTTAATTTTGCTCGCATAACCAGAGATGTTCCAGGGTCTAATCTATTTTCCAGTCCATTTTAGCCGTAGGGGCCTGTGCACGACACGCATGAGTTCACCAGTGATATATCAGTATTGTAACATGGCTCCGAGGCTTTCAGGACAAACTTTTATATCTGGTGTTGTTTTCTTTGTACCCAAGTCTCTTTTGGGAATTGAGAGACAAAACAAACTTAAAAAATTTACAATTTTGACCCGAAAGCCTAGGTGACGATGTTAGAATATTGGTAGATCGAACGTGGCCTATTCAAAGCTGGTAACATCTGCTGGCTGATCTCTAATTAAAATCGCTTGGAAATTACAGTACCTAAAAACCTTAGCAGATTGTAACAAAGGAAGTAACTGGCTGAAAGAGCAATAAAATTCTTAATTATATTCGCATTGAGCGATTACTTATTTACTTATTCTTATTTGCACTGTAGTGCAAATTAACGTGAGCCCGTTCGTAATTTTCTCAGACATACAGAATTATTCCATGAAAACTCGAGCAATTATGATTTACATTATAGTCGTAATATTTTAAAATTATTTCAAATTACGAGAACTCTGCTTGACTCGTGCAAGTTTGAGAAAATTTTTCAATCAATCAATCAATCAAACAAACAATTTTTATTGTGCAGTATTCACAGAATTTTAAAATTCACATCATTATTATGAAATAAAGATGGGAAAAGAAATAAATGTTACATATGGTTATGGAGAAAATAAAAAAAAAAA